CATCCGACGAGAAGGATCTGGCCGAGCAGAATATTAACAAGGTCGACTATGTCATTTGCAACCTGTACCCATTCAAGGACACTGTTGCCAAGATCAACGTAACCATCCCCGAGGCTGTGGAGGAGATTGACATTGGTGGCGTCACCCTCATTCGCGCCGCCGCCAAGAACCACAGCCGTGTCACGATCCTGAGCGACCCCAACGACTACGCCGGTTTTCTCAAGGAACTTGAGGCTGGTGAGATCACCGAGGCCAGCCGCAATGCCTACGCACTCAAGGCCTTCGAGCAGACCGCCGACTACGACTCTGCCATCTCCGACTTTTTCCGAAAGCAGTACGCCTCTGAAGGCAAGCAGCACATGACCCTGCGCTACGGTGCCAACCCCCACCAGAAGCCCGCTGCCGCGTTCACCGACGCCGGCGATATCCCCTTCAAGGTCCTCGGCGGTTCGCCAGGCTACATCAACCTCCTTGATGCCCTCAACGCCTGGCCCCTGGTCAAGGAGCTCAAGGAGGCCCTCGGCAAGCCTGCCGCTGCCAGTTTCAAGCACGTTTCGCCTGCCGGCGCTGCCATTGGTATTCCTCTGACCGAGGATGAGCGCAAGGTGTACTTCGTCAACGACATCGAGGGCATTGAATCCTCGCTTCTGGCTCAGGCCTACGCCAGGGCTCGTGGTGCCGACCGCATGAGCAGCTTCGGTGACATGATCGCCCTGAGTGATACTGTGGATGTGCCCACCGCTAGCATCATCTCAAAGGAGGTGTCTGACGGTGTTATCGCGCCAGGATATGAGCCCGCGGCCCTGGAGATCCTCAAGAAGAAGAAGGGTGGCAAGTACCTCGTCCTCCAGATCGACGAGAACTGGGTTCCTGCCGACGTCGAGACGAGGACTGTGTACGGCATCAAGCTGCAGCAGCACCGCAACGATGCCAAGATCGGTCCCAACATTTTTGGCACCATCATTACTCCCAAGGACTCAGCTCCTCTTTCCGAGGATGCTCTGCGGGACCTCACAGTCGCCACGCTTGCCGTCAAGTACACGCAGAGCAACTCTGTCTGCTACGCCGCCAGGGGCCAGACCATCGGCCTAGGCGCCGGCCAGCAGTCTCGCATCCACTGCACGAGGCTTGCCGGTGACAAGTCAGACAACTGGTGGCTTCGCTTCCACTCGAGGGTGCTGGGCATCAAGTGGAAGAAAGGGCACCAAGCGGCCCCCGACAAGAGCAACCGCCATTTGATCTGCTTCGTCAGCGGCCGAGCCTGCCCAAGGGCGGCAAAGAGCGCGAGGCCTTTGAAGGTGTCTTCGAGGATGTGCCGGCTGCCTTCACCGAGGCCGAGCGGGAGGAGTGGCTGGGCAAGCTGACCAATGTGGCAGTTTCGAGCGATGCCTTTGTAAGTGCGAACCAAAACCCAGAACCTGGAATGCAAACTCCGACGTAGACGGTTAACATGAGGCTAGTTCCCCTTCATCGACAATGTCTTCCGCGCCGCGCGGTCAGGCGTCAAGTACATTGCGGCCCCAGGCGGCAGCCAAAACGACAGCGCCGTCTTCGAGACGGCAGAGAGCCTCGGCATCACCTTTGTGGAGCAGTCCCATCGTCTCTTCCACCACTAGGTGGCAGAGAGGGGACAGCCGACCAGGCGAGAGAGCACGAGGCGTGGCATAGTGGCGATAGGATCCAAGCGTTGATAGAAGTGGGAAATTCAGACAAAGTCAGGCAAACTTGTAAACTGAACTGCCGGCGTATGCAAGTTGACGGGAAAACTCTCTCAGCTCTCTCGTCGTCACTAGACAGTGGATAAAAAGCCTGAAGAATATTAGCGAGAGGCGTGATTGTACCTGCAAACTGGCGCGTGGCCTCTCGTGATCATGGCCGTTCGTTGGATGACCTGTGCCAAAATTAGCAATGCGGTCGCAACGGCTGACAGACTTGGTGGCGACAGTCGAGCGCCAGGTCTGGTTTGTGCATATGCAGATGGGCAGGCACATCACCCCGCCCACAGCTTTTTGGAGGGTGGTGCTCGGGAGTCACTGTTGAGCTCCGGTAGGCGGTCCGCGTGGTGCCTTGGCGAGGCTGCTTCTTCCCCGCTCCCACTTGCCTCCGCCCAACACCCACACAATCACACACCATACTAAGTGAATTTCCATCACACTACTGGAACACCATACTTGCGGAGGCTGTGGTGCCTTGGCTTGGCCATCACTACTTGCTTGTAACCCCGATTACACAGCACCAGCTCGGCGCATAAGAAACCTATTTCTGATGCCACGCCTCTATTGTATCGACGCCGACCGGCAGGCTCGGGTAGTATCAATGATACCACACACTCGAGTCTGACACCACACGACAAGAGTGTAACGGCGATCAGCTGCCCACGTCAGATTTTGGGTTGCGACCTTGTGTTCCCAGCAAAACCAGACTGGAGACAAGGGCGCGTGGTTGTCGCTCGCTGGGTTGCGCAGACTCGCCATGCCGCCACCCGTAACTTGCTGAAGCTCTCGAACCGCCGCCAGCAGGCCCTCAGACAAGATGAAAGCTTTCGAGGAGCCGGTCGAGCCGTCAAACAGACCGGACAACTTTCGAACAATAGTTCAGGAGACCAGAGCGCGTAGATGGGGAAAGGCCCCAAGATGAGTGTCGAGTGACAAACTCCAAGCGTTATTCTCTTGCCGCCCGACCTGCATGTGGCTGGGTCGACATCACGCTGCTCAGGGCTCCGATTGGCTTCTTGTTTGCTCACCCCCCCTGTCACCTCAGCATGTCGCACTCAGTAGGCTGGCACAGTGGCCAACCTATCACATCTGCACATCACGCATCTTGGGGGTGGCAGGCGGCAGGGTTATTGACCACTGATCCCCTCAATGGGCCTGAGTTGGCGCCGGAGCTTGTCGTCAAACCGCTGGGATAGCGCCCTGCCTTGTCGACTTGTCTGGCCAACCACCTGTCGCTCTCCCGCCTCAACACCCGTCCGCCCCCCTCCCCGCCTCTTCGATATTCGGGGGGTCTGGTTCCTAGGCCCAATCAGCTCCTTTCGCTGCCCTGTCGAACCATGCAGGTCTTTACCTCGAAGACTGCCAAGTGCCAGTCAAGGACCCTCGAAGCTGCACTCTGTACTCTGGACAGGACGAATGCTTGTACAACTCCTCTCCGGAGCCTGCTGCGTGGTCTGTCTTTGTCTGGCTCTGTCTCTCTCTCTCCCGCTGTCTCTCCATTCGGACGTGTTGGTGGCATGCCTCGCTTCCAAATATACACTCGTTTCCCTCCTCCCCTCTTGTGAAGACCTCTCGCTCTCGCCCATATCGCTTCGTGACACCCTTCGGAGCTAGTTGAACAGAACGACTTATTGCTTGGGCTGCCTTTTCACCGGCGCTGCCAAAAACAGCTCTGCGCTTTTGACAAAGCTGTCCGGGTGGTTACCCGCCGCTAGAAGTTTTGGTGCGGTTTCCGCAAGAGACCTCGTCCCTGGTTTCCAGAGCTCGGCGCTTCGATAACGACCTCTCTCAGCGCCTATTTTCCATCACGACCGAATCACTGTCCTGGGACTGGGCCATCACCTATCAGACCCTGCTCCTGCTCGCGCCATTACTCCCCCGCCCACGCTACAGGTAGGGATCCCATTTGCCTTCTGTTCTGCCGTTGTGCCACTTACACGCCGCTCATCCTTCCCGTCTAGACACCACCCCCTCCAGAGTTGGCTGCATCGCTCAAAACCACCTCGTCCCTCTGAGCCGCCGTTGGAAGTCCTACCTCCCTCCTCCTTCGATAGCTGGTCTCTCACAAGTCTGATTTCCTATTGCGCTTCAACTGTTCTCGCCGCCCCGTCTCCAATTCGCACGTCCCCGTCCTGAAGCCTCAGTCTGTCTTTGTCCAACACTAGACCCGGTGCTTCGCATCGCCCTTTGATCCATACGAAAGGACCAAGACGCTTGCCTTCGGGCTCTTTCTCTGCCGTGTACATCGTAGTGGCGTCCACATTTCACCACACAACATGTTCTCTCAAGGTTTGTCTTTGTCCGCAACACGGCGCATGACGAATTCCAGACTAACAGTGTTCGCCTGCACAGACGACAAGAAGCGGCCTGCCGCACTCAACTTGACGCCAAACCGCTCAGCATCCACAGACTCGTCATCTTCAGGCTCTTCACTCAAGCCCCCTCGCACACCACGTTTCGCTGAGGCCACTTCGGTTCATTCTCCCGTCGAGGCGCCCCTCTCACCTTTTGCGCCTCATGAGAGGTCCGAGATGCCTCAATCCCAGCCTGGCGACATTGGCTTCGGCTACATCAACAACCGCGAATCCGTCAACGTTCCCATGACCCCCAAGACGCCCCTCAAGAGCGCCATGCGGGTGCCCGGAACTCCTGCCAGGAAGTTTGAGAACCCGATGAGCCCAACATTCAAGGAGGAAGAATTCCTCGACAAGAGGGAGTCGCACACTAGCAAGGCCCAACGCCGTGATCTGGTACGTCTGCTATCATAACGCTGGTCGTACGTGATCACCTGCTAATTCATCCACAGAGGATAAAAACCCGAGTCCGAATGGCCAAGTTTGCTCTTCGCGGTGTCAGCTTCAGCTGTGCCCTTATCATCATCTCCATGCTGTCTGCCTCCTTCTCGATTTTCAACGCAACAAGATCGCTGCCAGCTCAGAGTGGTTTGCCTGCCTGGTCTGAGAGAGCAGATCTGGCCTCAGATCCTGATTCTTCGTCGTTGCCGGCATCCTCCCTGCTCGGATGCATCATTGTTTTTC